CTAATTTTTGTATTTTTAGTAGAGATGGGGTTTTACCATGTTGGCCAGGCTGGTCTTGAACTCCTGACCTTAAGTGATCCACTCTCCTCGGCATCCCAGGGTGCTGGGATTACAGGCATGAGTTACCGCACCCAGCCATGAACAAGTTTTAATTCTAATACCAACTCTGGTTAGTTGGTAGTGGTTGGTTAGAGCACTGTTTTGAGAACTCTGAGGCAATATCTATGTTCAGCAGAAAGGAATACCTTGGTTGATTAGTGCTGTGTGACCATGATCATTGGATGAAAGAGTGGGGACACACGTATATTTGTCAATCTCTCCAAATAAAAAGAACAGTAGTGAATGAGGAGATACAGATACATTAATATTTAGACCTTTGATACATTACTTCCTACATGAAGATTATCTGCAGTTTTTCTGAACTCCCTTGAAACAGCTTGTGATTTTCCAGATTGTTATTCATCCTGACCTTCTCTGACAAAGTGAATTTAATCATTCCTTTATTGTTGCCATAATAGCCCTTTATTACCTTAATTATAATACTTATTTTTTCTTTGTTAATCATTTACTTGTCTGATTCCACTGTGGATTGTGAACTTAAGGAAACGGACACTAGTTTACTTACCTTTATGTTCTTAATACCTAACATGATGCTTGGTGTACCTGTCACATAGGTATTCAAAAGGTGAGATCATTTGTTATTTCCTTAATGACCTAGGTGTATTTGAACAATCAGGCATTTATATTTGAACATGAGATGACTAGGTCTAAGTCTTAGGGCAGTAGTTGTGTGAATCAAAAGAAAAAGGCAGATATTTTGGGTAAGAATGTATGAGTTAATGTTTTTGGGTTCCATAGAGTGCAGAGGGTTTTGGGGTTTGAGTCTCCATGTCTGAGAGAATGGTAGCACTATTAGAAAAACATAGCTGGGGGAAGTGAATTTGGGTAGCTGAGTTTGGTTTCGGAGATGTTAGGTTTTGATTGAAAAAGTTTATTTATTAACTAGTTTTAGATGGAGGGCTGGAGATAAGGATTTCATAGTGGGCTAGTTGGATTGCTTCCTCCATTATATGCTCCATAGCAACCTACCTTATTATTACTGCTTGTTCAGTGCCCATCTTTCCCCCAGTAGGGCAGGGAACACATCTTGTTCAAAGCTGTATCTTCAGTTATAAACACAATTGTTTGACATGCTAGGTACTTTAGTAAGTAATTGTTCAGTGAAGTGACATCTGTACTGTTAGTTGATTTAAATGCATCCAGTGTTGTCTTTATGTTGGTAATTAGAATCACTAGTTTTAAAATTACCATGGTAATTGGTTTCCATAGAATCATTGGAACTTTAAACTTGTAGAGATCTTAAAAATCTTTGACAGACCTCCCACTTGGACCTTGAAACTACCTAAAGTCATAATTGGACCACACTTCAGATTTAGCTATGTATGATATTCACTGATGTATAGTGCCGTAATTACTTATTCAAAGAAATATGTATATTATGCATATCTTTCAGCCTGCTAACAAGATAGAATGTTGGCTTGAATGGACTTGTGAAGGTTCTATAGTAGTCTTCTTTGTATGGGTCATTTCTGCCCTCTGTAGTATTTTGACCAGTGGCTGTGTGAAAGTCTCACAAGGAGATAAAATTTTATTCATGCTTGCTGGCAACGTTAGGCTTCTTCCTTTTTTTTTTTTTTTTTAACTTATTGATTAACATGAGATTCTGGATAAACTACTGATTTTGTTTCCTCTTTCCTTGTCCATGTTAGCATGGTAAATCATGATGGTTGCAAATTTGCCATTATTTGATAGTATATATGTAAATAATAGAAATACTCTTATGAACTATTAGATTTGAACACTGTCTCTATAAAACAAAGTTTGGAAAAGGTGTTTCTGTCTGAGACGACAATCTGGATGTAATTCTAAAATTCACTAAGTTTCATTTTTAAGATGTAGACATTCATCATCAGATTAAGCTTCCAGTATTTTCTTTTATAGCTTCCTGAACAGAGACAAAGCACTTTTGTTTAGAACACATAACAAATATTCCCTTAATTTGAATTAGTTTTCTGTTTTTAATTATTGTTTGCTTTTTTTGTTTCAGTATCAAGATAAAGAGGAAGTTGTCTTATGGATGAATACTGTTGGGCCCTACCATAATCGTCAAGAAACATATAAGTACTTTTCACTTCCATTCTGTGTGGGGTCAAAAAAAAGTATCAGTCATTACCATGAAACTCTGGGAGAAGCACTTCAAGGGGTTGAATTGGAATTTAGTGGTCTGGATATTAAATTTAAAGGTAAGTAAACCTTAGTAGTCCTTACAATGCAATTCAGATTGTAGGCAAGGGTTTCTTAATTTTGGCACTATTCACACTGGGGTTGGATGATTCTTTGTTGTGTGGGCTGTCATGTACATTATAGGATATTTAGCAGAGTCCCTGGCCTGTACTCCCCAGATGCCAGTAGCACCTTCCATTTGTGAAAACCAAAAAAGTCTCCAGACATTGTTAATTGCCATCAGTTGAGAACCATTGCTTTAGACTCTAAAATGTGTTTTAATTTGTAAATGAAGTGTATTACATTTAAGAAAGTATGTTAGTAATTAACAAAGATTTACTTTGAATATTTATAAGATAATAAAATAGATGATTGTTAATAAAATTGTATTTCCTTAACATATTTCCTTCTGAAAACTGTTATCTAGTAAACCCCCTATTTATTAGACCCTTGTGGCCTGGGAAGACCTTCATAGATACTTAGCAAAGTAATTTATGGAAGTCTGAGGCTGTAATGGGATGCGTGGATACTTAAAATTCTTGTGTAAAGCTTCAAATTCAAACTTGTACTATAGGCTTACCATATATTTATCAGTGTTGTATTAGTTTATCCTGTTAATACCTATAGGATGTTTAAATTTTAAGTAGAAGACTTGTTAAATTTGGGGGTAAAACTTCTCCTTATCTAGTTATTATGTAGGTATCTATCAGATCCTTTGAGTGTGTTTATACTTTCCATTTTTCTCTGTAAAGTTTATCAGAGAGTGTATTTCCTGGATAGGCATTTTTAGCATGGTGAGCAGAAGCTTGAGTAATTGAATTTTTGCAGGATCTTTGATTAGATGTCTTGGTTTTTGAATACATCATGGATTCTGTAAACAGGAGCTTTGGATTTTAATCCTCCTTTTTTTTTTTTTTTTTTTTGGTACTGTATTCATTTTGATAAAATTCTTTACTGCAGTTTTAATTTCATTATCTTCATATGTAAGATGAATAGTAACTGACTTCAGGTATTTTTAGTACTAAAGATATTATTATTTAAGCACTTTGGGGAGAAGAATGTCAATGAGATTTTAAAGATAATGTTACTTTAATTTTTATTGTTAAATTTTCTTGTTTTTAATGAGTTGTTGTTGAAAATAGGTATATGGCATATATTTACATTCTTCTTCCTCCCCTATTTCCCCATTTATAGTCTTCGGGGCTTAATTATAAAATTAGGTTGTAAATGTAAACCACAGTGGCGTGGCCTGTAATTTTATGAATCAGCGTAAACATACCTTTGAGGCTTATGTTTTAATTAGGTAATTTAAGTATTTAGTCACAAATAAGGAGAAAACTGAAACTACAAAATGTGATCTTTGAGACTTTGTATTATATGTAAACATCTACTTTGTCTTTTTTCATATTTGGTGTACATTTCTAATTTATTAAAGAGGAACCAATAAGAGAGAATAGGCAGAACTCCTGAATCCTAATTTGTTACTGTGTACAGATTTCATTAGTTTTTGAGATCCTCACCCATATTTACTAAAGAAGAGTACTTATTCAGCAATCTTAAACTCCCTTTTATTAGTTCCTAGAGGCTGAGATGGAGAGATTATTTAGATAGAGGAAGATGGTTTTCATGGGTAGAGAAGTGGAATTTATTTTCTTTTCAGACTAAGCTAAGCACCTTTAGATTAAAGAAAGAGCTAGCCAAGTGTTACTCCCTGAGAGTTGGTGATTCCTAGGGGTTTTACCAAGTTTCCACGCCCAGCATAGATATGCCTCTAAAGAAGCTGCTAAATTAAGTGGTCTAGTTGAAATAGTAAATGCTGATTAGATTTATCTTCTCCCTCTACTGTAGCCCTTTGCTTGCTATGATCAAAGATAAAGTTGGCCGGGCGCGGTGGCTCAAGCCTGTAATCCCAGCACTTTGGGAGGCCGAGGCAGGTGGATCACGAGGTCGAGAGATCGAGACCATCCTGGTCAACGTGGTGAAACCCCGTCTCTACTAAAAATACAAAAAATTAGCTGGGCATGGTGGCGCATGCCTGTAAGCCCAGCTACTCAGGAGGCTGAGGCAGGAGAATTGCTTGAACCCAGGAGGCGGAGGTTGCAGTGAGCCGAGATCGCGCTATTGCACTCCAGCCTGGGTAACAAGAGCGACACTCTGTCTCAAAAAAAAAAAAAAAAAGATAAAGTTGATCATGCTTTGAAAAGTATTCTAGGTTGTCACTTACAATAACCAAACATTTAAAAAATAGAATACACCTTAGAGATTGTGTCATCCAGTTCTCTCTCCCAGAAGCCCAGAGACAAAGTGATTTACTTCTGGTGTATCATAGCATACCAATAATGTAATAGAAACTGGAACATTATGTCTCTTGTGAGCTATAGAAATATTTACCATATATTGTTAATCTTTCATCTCTTAAATATTTGACTTTTAAAGATTCTTCTGAAGGCATATTCAAATAAAACAAAATTTTGGAAGTGTGAAACCAGAAAAAACCGTACATACACATACATACATGTTTACATATGCATACACACACATCTTTTTTTTTTTTTTTAACATTGTTAAAAACATTTATTCTGATACATTCTATCATAAGTTAATACAGGTTCCACTCTGCTACAGATTCATCTGTGACGAGACTTGTGCCATCCAACTGGCGACCGAACAATGTCCCATCTCTTACCCGAGCCAGAGCATACATTTTCTGTGCTGTCTGCTAATTGCTTCCAAATCCAGAAGACCAAATAATCCTTTATCCCCAAAGTAGGCTCAAAACAGTTGGTTCAGGCATTCCAGGATCTGCACCTCTCTTAAATCCCAGGTAAATCACAAGAGGGTTGAAGCCCCAGCGCGTAGCAAACTGGCCCTCCTTGAAGAGCTGCTGCAGCCTCTGCTTGGCCTCTTTGCTCAGCTTCACCATGGCGATGGCCTTGTGGTGCTGGGAGAAACCTTTATAGCAACTCCGCATCTTTTTTTTAACCTAGTAGATTGTGTCAGGCTCCATGGATTGGTATCGTTTTGTAAAATGAAGATTACTAAAGAGACTATTTTAAGGAACTAATGATAGTCTAACTCTAATAAACAGTGCTTCTCACTTAAGATTTTATACACAACTTTTTTCTTGCTAATATTATATTCTAGCACTAGACAAAAATGCTAAATTGAGACCATTTTAAGAAAATACATTAAATATAGAAGGGCACACTTAGATTGGGCATCTTTGAACCTGGTTTGATTTCATCACCCTCCAATTTTAGAGGGTACCTCTTGGAACCTTGTCATGATAGTGTGGAAAGAACATGTGCTTTAGAGTAAGAGGGACTTGATGCATTCAGGTCGGCGCCTGCTTACCTCTGTGGTCATGGGCACATTATTCAACTTCTTTGATCTTGTATTGCTTATGTGTGAAGTGTAGGAAATAATATGTATTTGATAGAAGCGTCAGGTTTAAATGTGAGAATGCATACAGAGCATTTATCAAAGTACCTGGTATATAGCTTATATTTTAAAAATGGTAATTAAGAATACTAATAGCACATAGTATGGGTTTGTATACAACTGGATTTTGTATTTGCCATTATGAAATGTTAGTTTATTGATTATAGACTGATTTATCCCCAAGCTGCTACACTAGCCTATTATAGTAGCACTCTTGTTTACCATTGAACTCTTAGCTATTAAGACATAGTATGCTTTTAAGAAATTGTCTAGTACCTGGACAGTTTGTGCCTACTTGTTGTTATGATAATTGGTTCATTATGAACATTAGATGATCTGGAATAGTAATTCTTAACCAGAAGAGATCACCATTCACCCATCCTGCTCCTTTCCCCATTTGAGAATTCCTGCAGTATAATGAAGGTTATTAATTGTGGAAATATCAGTGACTTCTACAGGACTCCTTCCTTCTGTTTATTTTATTGATCTTCCCTTGAATTTTCTTCCTTAAATTTCCCAACTTAACTGAGGGCTGAAATTATTTTGCAAGTATTTTTTCTTTAGAATTAATTGGTAAGTTGAGAGTACTGCAGATATGGAGAGATGCCAAGGGCTGTTTAGAGGCTTATATATTTTTAGTTTAGTGATTCTCAATCTTGACTGTTCTTATCTTCACTATGCAGTATTTACCTCCAGATATCTGCCTGGGGGATTTAGGCCTGGATTGCTAAAGGGTGAGGAAAAAGGACTGGGGGAATGGCAGGTTTACTCATTTATCCTGAAGATGTTTACTTCAGGTAATCCCCCCATGCTGTTTTCAGTCTCTAGCTTCTGCTGTTCCTGCTGTCCCTGATTCTGGAGCCTCTCTGGTTTAAGTTTTCTAGAGGAAGGTGCCACTGGTCTATTACAGGGTTAAGGTGAGGGTACAGTATGTGTCTAGCTGTATGAAGGGTAGAGGAGGGTACCTGGCCATACAGCCCCTCCACGTACTTATGCAATATTTTAGTATAATTCCCATTGTGTTTAGTCCTGTATCTGTCCCCCTAGCTTTTGGGATCTGTAGGGCTTCCAAGTCCTGAGTGTCTCTTCGGTTCTGTGACACCAATTCCCTCCCTTACAGGCATCACTCTCCTGTTAGGTTTTCTCCTGGTTTATTAGTAGTTTGTCATCTTACAGCTGTTTTCCATTTTCGAAAAATTTGTTTAAATCTTTTCCTCACAGCCAGGTGTGGTGGCTCACACCTGTAATCCCAGCACTTTGGGAGGCTGAGGTGGGTGGATCACCTGAGGTGAGGAGTTCTAGACCAGCCTGGCCAACATGGGGAAACCCTGTCTCTACCAAAAAGTACAAAAATTAGCTAGACATGGTGGCGGGTGCCTGTAATCCCACATTTGGGAGGCTGAGGCAGGAGAATTGCTTGAAACCAGGAGGCGGAGGTCACAGTGAGCCAAGATCGTATGATTGCACTCCAGCCTGGGTGACAAGAGCGAAATTGTCTCAAAAAAAACAACAACAAAAAATCTTTTCCCCACTGTCTGCTCTTCTTTTTGTCTTTGTGGACTTAATATCCTTTTTATTCCTTCACTGACATTTTAATGGGTTTTAAGAGAGAGAGAGGAAACATACTTGTGGTTAAATCTCTCTTGTTTAAGTGGAAGTCTGGGAACTTTGTACAATATTTTGTCCTGTTGGTTTCAACCAAAGTGTTTTAGCCAGAGCAAATAGTTTGAATCTGAAATTTGTCAATTCTTATTATTGATTTCTTGTAACTTGTACTAACTGTAGATTTGATAAATATGGGCTTTTTGCAAGTTTTTATTCAAACCATTGGTAACATTGTTCTCCTTCAGATTGACATCTCTGTTTTTGTTTTTTAATGGAACATATTTGCATATACATTTTTCTGATTTTAACAGTGATACAAGTTCAAATACACAATTTAGGAACTATAGGAAAATATAAATCTGGATTACCATTAACATTTTGTTGTGTTTTCTCTAGTCCTGTCTTTCTGTTTATCCACATTGTTTTAAAACGTGAAAATTGAGTTCATTATATATATGATTTTTTTAAAGTTTATTTAACATATCCTTATATAGTGCTTATTATGTGCCAGACACTGTTTTAAGCACATTCTAACTCATTTAGTAAATTATATATGATTAGTTTTTATTCTGCTTTTTTTCTCTTGACATTTTATGAGCTTGCCCCCACATTGTTAATTATTCTTTTAAAAATGTGGCTACATCTTACTGTGTAACTTGGATACTGTGATTCCCCACCCCAGCCATTTTCTAGCTGTATATTTTGATCCTTCTATCCTTTAAAGGGTTTTCTTTTTCTGCTATTAGAAATAACAATGCTTGGCCAGGCGCGGTGGGTCACGCCTGTAATCCCAGCATTTTGGGAGGCCGAGGCGGGTGGATCACAAGGTCAAGAGATTGAGACCATCCTGGTCAACAAGGTGAAACCCCGTCTCTACTAAAAATACAAAAATTAGCTGGACATGGTGGTGCGCGCCTGTAGTCCCAGCTACTTGGGAGGCTGAGGCAGGAGAATTGCTTGAACCCAGAAGGCAGAGGTTGCGGTGAGCCGAGATCGTGCCATCACACTCCAGCCTGGGTAACAACAGCGAAACTCCGTCTCAAAAAAAACCAGAAATAACAATGCTTTTGGCTCTCCTTGCACTGAAGTATTTCCAGTGCATCTCTGAATCTGTTGTTATGATAAATTCTTAGAAATTGAATTACTGAATCAAAGGGTATAAACATATTTAAGGTAGTTTTTGATACACGATGCCAAATTCTCATTTAGAAAAAGTCACACAGTTTATACTGCTGGTCATGTTGGTCAATCAGTACTCTTTATATAGTTATTTAACTAACTGTGAATATACCAGTTTTTCCAGTTCTTGTTTTCCTCTACTTCATTCAGTAGTTACTGAGTATCTTACTGCATTCCAGCTCTATGATAGGCTCTGGCTTCTGGGGTCTTCAGGCCTTCTCAAATTCTACCTTAATTTTGTGTGAATGTGCATTTTCAGGGGGTGGGCAAGGGAGAGATCACTTTCATCAGATTCTCAAAGGGGTACAAGGCCCAAGGAAACTTAAGAACACTTTCCTTGAATATATTGGCATTTTCACTCCTTTTTTTCTTTTATTGGAGACAGGGTCTCACCGTCTCCCTGGCTGAAGTGCAGTGGCATGATCACTGCTTACTGTAGCCTTGACCTCCCCGGGCTTAGCCTCCTGAGTAGCTGGGACTATAAGCATGCACCACCATGCCTGACTAATTTTTCTGGTTTTTGTAAAGATGAGGTTTTGCCATGTTGCTCAGGCTGGTTTCAAACTCCTGGGCTGAAGGGATCAGCCTGCCTTGGGCCTCCCAAAGAGCTCAGATCCCAAGCTTGAGCCACTGCACTTGGCCTGATGCTTTCAATTCTTAACTCTGGGAAGGAGATAGCGTAGACGCCATCTCTGTTAAGGGAACTGAGAGGTTCCTGGAACTTAAATAACTTGCTTTCTATTCACGTAGCTGGTAGATACTGAACTCAGACTAAAACTCACCTTTCTACCCATTTCTCTATACATTTTTCTATGCTGATTTCTTGCGTGAGAGACTTTGCCAAGTGCTGCTGAGTTACAGGTAGACTATTTTCTCATTTTCCAAATGCAATGTTAGCAGAAGAGAAAAGTATGGCATACTGTGTTCTTAGAGAACTCATAAATAATTATCACTTTCTTTTCTCAGTGCATTTACTGCCTATTCAATTGTTAGTCTAGAGTTTTATTGGAAACTGATGGTAGATTATGGGCACATAGTGTCCATAATCTATCTAACATTGCTTTCTGTTTGAATAATGAGGTTAACGTTTGCCACTTTCCTACTTTGTTTTTCCCTCGTAAAAACTATTTACATGCCGGGCGCGGTGGCTCAGGCCTGTAATCCCAGCACTTTGGGAGGCCGAGGCAGGTGGATCATGAGGTCAGGAGATCGAGACCATCCTGGTCAACATGTGAAACCCTGTCTCTACTAAAAATACAAAAAATTAGCTGGGCATGGTGGCACGTGCCTGTAATCTCAGCTACTGAGGAGGCTGAGGCAGGAGAATTGCCTGAACCCAGGAGGCGGAGGTTGCGGTGAGCCTAGATCGTGTTGCACTCCAGCCTGGGTAACAAAAGTGAAACTCGGTCTCAAAAAAAAAAAAAAAAAAATTTGCATTAGTAAAATCTGAATTGCGTTTTTTCCAGAATTCATGGACGTGTGTTTCGTCTTTGAAAGATATAGCTTGTTATAATTTTAAAGCACAGATGTATGCTGGTAGATTTTCAGATTGTTTTCCAGGTATATAGAATGCTGAATAATGATTTGGCATATTCATACACTTGCATTAGTTATCTTCAGATTGTCTCCTTCCTGAGGGAGATGCTGTTTCAGTTGGGCAGCCAGAGACTTCAGTTATTTGTGATGTTTGTATTTGTC